TATATATATATATATATATATATATATATATATATATATATACACGTTTTAATTTTTTTTTAATTCACATATATAAACAGTTTTCGTTTATCTTTATCATTATTTATCACGTTTTTATGTTGTTATTATAAATACATTTACCATGTTGTTTAGGATCATATCCCTTCTTTACTACAACATTTCCTGGAGTAGGTGGCAATGGTGGAGGTTGCATGTTATTACTATCACGTGGTTTCGGTTCTTTCAATTTATGAGTATCACCTGGAGGTGATACATCATCTTCATCACTTGAATCCTCTTCCATATCTTGTACCTTATAATATAAATACGTTATTGATACCAAAACATCAATATCTTATTTAAATATATGAAATACTTACTTGGTTATTATCTTTTGCACGATCTTTTTCACCTTCTGTACGACTTTGCATTTCATCTTCTCCTTCACTATCAATCTGCATTTCTACATCTTCACCTTCTTCTATTCTTTCCTAAAAATTTAAGAATTAACAAAGAAACAATAAATTTTATTGGAATATTTTAAAATAAAATAGAATTTGTAAAATTTTATTACTTGCATAAGTACTCGAGCACCAACTTCGTCAGGCGTTGTTGGAGCTGGAAAATTACCAACTTCAAATTGTTGATAATCAACGGTCTCGACTACAACAAAATCATGCCAATCAATTTGTGCATATGCAACTCTTTCGCGTTCTAATTCCTCTTCTTCTTTACGTCTTTGAGCTTCTTGATACTTTAACCATTCAGCACGATATTTAACTTGTTCTAAAATTTTATCCATATTAGAAGCTTCTTCACGTAAACGAGGTAATAAATCTTTAGGTGGAATCAATACCTATAAATTTATATTAATTTAAATAAAAAGTTCAGAATTAATATCTAATCATAAAAATAAGAATATAATTTTATATTACCTTAGTATATTGTTCCAAAAGTTTTGTAAAATACTGAAACAAGGAATGTTGTGGACGTAAAAAATCAAATTGAAAATTTCTTTGTTCTCTATTCATTAAGTTTGTTAAGAATTGACGACCATTACGAGCTACAAATTGTGCTGTAAGTTTTACAATATCCCTAAAATAAAACAAGTCATTTTTTTATGTAAACTATTATATATAAAAAATACAAAATTTAATTAAAATATATACAAATCTAAAGCTGAAATAGAAGGTGGATCAGCAATAAATTCAAATTCTGCAGGAGTGTCTCTTGGAATAAATGGTTGTTCAACTTGTTTCAAAATTTCTTGCTGTTTTTGATGAGCACTAAGATTAATTGTTTTTCCAGGTCCTGATCCTATAGTAGGCTCTTGACCTTTTCCTTCTTTAAATTCTTTCACTTTATGCTGATAATATGCATGGTATGGATCACCAAAATTTAAGAAATTAAATTTCGGATTTCCCAATTCATTTTGTCTAATTCTTGATTCAAACTCTGGTCCATTTCTAGCCACAAAACTGGCAGTCTTGTCAACAATATCTAAATTTTTACATAAGGAGAATTACAATACAAATAAATGTCAATAGATAAATAATTTTTGCAAAACAAAAATGCATATATAAATTTATTCTGAGCATCATCTTATTTTTAGTATATTTAATAATTATATATAATTATAATAATATTATATATATATAATAATTATAATAATATTCTCATTGTATTTAATATAATATACTATTATAATTTGATTTTTAGAGATATTTATAAATAATTAAAATATAATAAAGCATTATAATATAAATTTTCAAATTTTATTTAAAAAGAAATATACAAAAGTAAAATATAAAGAAATTAAATTATATAATAAAAATAAAATTATGTAATGATTTATTAATAACAATATATAAATCAATATACACAACCAATATTGTATGTTATAATTATTTTAATTATTACTCTAATTTATAATATTTGTACATATAAAAAATATATTTTCATTAAAATATATTTTCAGAAAAATCAAAACCATTGAAAAAATCAATTAATAAAGATATAAACATTGTTTTCTTTTCAAAATATATATTGCCAAAGGATACTTCTAACCTCCGGTGGAGGATAAATAATGCCTACAATGGGCTGAGATGATGGTGCAGTATTTTCTTCATTTTCAGTCGCCGGTGGTTGTACAACAGCAACTTCTTGTGCAGGCATATTGCTTAATATTTTTTTTATTCACTTAATTTTAATAGGTAAGCCAATATTTTACGTTATTTATCACATATACATACTTCTGAAATATGATACAATGGTGTCGATTTAGGATGATTTTCACTGACATTTCATTTACTAAAGCTGAATTTTTATGAACACAAGAAAGTTTAATCAATGCATCCAACAATGCAATAGAAAAAATAGAAAATGTTCCTAGATAATTCACAAAATAATTTCTTTAAACTTAAATATAAGATTTAAACAAAATTTGGATTAAAATAATAATAATTAATATGTTTAAATATTTAATTGCTTAAAAAAAATAACAGATTTTTTATATATATTAATTATTTTCTTTATTCATATTTATTATTTATACTGATGCAATTTCATAGGTATATTCATAAATAAAAACAATTTCAAAAATAAAATAAATAATAAATTTCTTATTTATAAATTAATTATATATAATATTTATCTAAAATATGTAGAAGAAAATACTAACAATATTACATAAAAATTATGTTTGTTTTTATACATTAAGTTCTTTTATGTAGTTCTGTGTAGTTTCATATAAACTAGTAGCACTATTAAAAGCATATGTTGGTAAATTAGAGACAAATCCCATGCTGGACATAACACCTTTGTTCCAAGTTACTTTAATAAAATTTGTAATATCTGTCACACTTGGTAGTTGAGCTATCTAAATAAAAACATCTTATTCAGAAAACAAATATTTCATAAATTTTTAATCATTTTAAATATGTTAATTCTTTGCAAAATATATCAAATATTAAATTCTATAATAATAAAGTTAAAAATTTAAATATTTATTAGACATAACATTATACCATTTTATATAAAAAATAAAAGATATTAATTTTAATTTTTTTAAAATATTGAATAATAAATGATGACATTAAATAAAATTACCTCTTTTGTAATTTTTTCAGGTACATTTTTTTTAACATATGGAGCAATTTTTACGTTTAATTTTCTATACAATGCAGCAGTTTCTTCTGATTTTGACCATAATCTTTCTTTATAAGTATAATATACGATACCACCAACAATACTGGATTTTATGGCAAACCTAAGAACATAACCTTCAATTTAAAATTTAAATTCTTTATATATTTCTATATATTTATATTCAAATATTATAATAAAAAATTCTTCATAGATTTAGAAATTTACTAACCGAATTAAACTCATTGTATAAAATAAATTATTTTGACACAATAGTTTTGCTGCACCTTCGCTTATTATACAGAAACATGAAAATTACGTAAAACCTTTTAACAATTTCCGGTTTGATCTAAAGTATTTATAAATATTAATTACTTTATCTTTTTTTATGTATATATTAAACAATTACACAAATATGTAAAATATTTTTTAATTGTAAGAAACTTTATATCTGAAAACTATATAATTTCATATAGTTATTATGGTTTACGTAGTAAATGCATACAATGTATATACAATTGAAAAAAAATACTAATATAATAATAAACTAATTTCTATTTCATCTTTTATGTCTTTATATTTTATATTTATATTTTTAACAGATGATATATAATACTAAATTTGTTTATTTGTTATTTTAAAAAATGTATTTATTATAATTATAAAAAAATTATTAAAATTAACCTTAAAATTGTTTTGTATATTTATTATATATCATAATATAATGTGGCCTCAAGAATATATAGCATTAAAGGTAAAAGTTGTTATATCATGAAAATTTATTTATTTATAATTTATAATGCAAATAATTACGTTAAGTGATTTTCCTTACAGGATATAGAAAATTTATTAATTTGTGGAATATGTTATGAATTTATGGATACATCTGTTATGACATTATGTTCTCACAATTGTAAGATAAAAAATATTTGTTTTTTATAAATTAACAAAATTATGTATTTTATTATTTCTCTTTTAAATTTTTAGATTGTTCTCTATGTATTAGAAAGTATTTACATTATAAAACACAATGTCCTGCATGTTTTGCAGAAACTTTTGAGAAGGACTTGAGAAAAAATAAAATCTTAGATGAAATTATAACACATTTTTCACAAATTAAAGATAAGTTAAAAAGAGTTTTACAAATTCATATTCAATTTACAAAATTTGATGAAAACAATCAGGTTTCTACTACACCAAAATTATTGCATCAAAGTAATGATACAAATATAACTGAACAAGAAAATAAGATTATGTGTAATCAGATTATTACTAATATTTCTACTTCTGAAAATAACATATCACCATCTATAAATGTACAAAACAATATATTTAGTCCTAGTACAAGTGGAACACCTAGAATACCTTTAATGTTTACACCTAAAAGTCATAAACGTTCAGCAGTAACAAATATAGAAAAAACTAAGGTTGTTATATGTCCAGTATGTAAAGTTACTATTTCAGAAATAAAAATAAATAGACATCTTGATGATTGTTTAAAAAGAGAATCAATGAAAGAAAAACCTCAAATGTAAGAGCGATCAAATTTAAATTTCTTTGCATTTATTTTTATAATCTTTTTTTTTCTTACATAATAACAAAAATTTGAA